TCAACAAATATATGTAGGAGTTAAATGGTGATGGAGTGGGTACAAGCTGTGGAGACCGTCGAATGACACCGCTCAAGGAGAAAGTGAAATGACTAATAGGTCGTCCGAGGGCATTATATTTGTTATATTTATATTTAAACGCATAAAAAAAAACTTGTTACAATATGGCACCAAGAAGGATGTGCCACACAATAAAAATAAAAAACACAGATCAAAAGTAACAAAGATATATAAGTAGAGGACGCATAAAGAACTCCATCTGGAAGGAAACAATCATGCTTAACAAGTTCTAACAGGATTCATTAACCATCATCGGGAAGGCAAGAAAGAAGGAAATCGCAACACATTCACCATTGATTACGACTCTTGGCCATATCCTAAAACGTTTCGAGCTATCTCGTGGACCCCAACCAGGGAGTCGTGAAACACCGACCGATGCTAATCTAGCACAAACATCCTTCATCCCACGACGCCACGTCATGGACTGACCACCTCTCCGCCTTTTCCATCCCGTCCCAGGGATGGCTAGCGAACAGAGACCTGTACAGAAGCCTCAGGGATGACATTTGCAGCCCATGTCCAAGCCACCGGAGCCGGTGTTTCCAGATGACGACAATCAATCAATGGTGATCTCCACTGTGTTCAAACACACGCCGCCGAACCTCAGAATTACTCACGCGATGATGCCATCGAACGCAAGCAATCCTGCGGAGACAGTGATGATCGAACACGCAGAGTCGCCCACATCCTCAGCCTACTCGGAGAGGCCAGGTTTCACAGGCGTAGAGCAGGGTAGCTAGCACCGAAGCACTGTATGTCCGATCTTTGACAGCCAGGCTGACATCGCGACGGCGCCAGATGTGGCTGAAGTTGATGTATGCCACCCTAGCCTTCATTATACGGTTGGAAATCTCATCCGTCACCCCTCACGCCAACACTCACACAACTACACAGATACAGAAACTTATCAACAACTTCAAGCGGTTCACCCGCAAGAGTGACTGCAGGTACAGGATCCTGCCAGTCTTATAACAGTACTTTGCACAGAGACGGCGCGAAGCACATACCATACTTACAGACAGTCCGAGGGTGACATGGTGGAAACCGGGTGAAGAGGAGATGAGAGGCTATAGACAATCTTAGGGCCAGCAAAAGAGGACTGAAGAAAATAGAATACATCGGAGATGCGTTGTTGAAGCCCTATGGTCCACTCGGAACCCGAAGGACTAATACTAATATTATCATCGATCACATGTAAGGAACTGTTGAAACACCGAGTATAATTGACAAATAACCACCTCAACATTCTGAGTTTAAATCAAATTCACGACTTATAGCAGTTCGAGTGCTGAGATTTCAGCACAGTTGCCTTTGGAAACCAAGTTGTTCAGATCAAAATTTATGTGATCTGCTTGATACCACCAATGGTAATCAAGAGAGCAAGCATTTTCGAAAAAAACTATATACTACTGGTGGATTGGGTTGGACGGTTGTATACCACTCATATCATAGCGTATGTGCTGGCCAGCCAGATTATGGAGGGGATCTAAGAAAGCAGACACAGCTGTTTCACTCGTCTGGGGCCCAGCTCACTAGCGGTGTATCTGGTATGATTCAGCCCTGAAATTAGAGGAGCACGATGTGTTCATTACCTGAAAGAAAGCCTAGGCACTATGAGTTCTCACTTGTGACATGGCATTGCGAAATCACTGTTCTGTCATGAGTACGTCACCTTCTTTACAGTTAATTCAGTCTGCTTGTAACGAACAAGCATATTATTGATGAACAGTAAAACAGACTTGTAGATCAATAAGCTAAACTAAATATATTACCTCTATATTTTTAAGGTCAAAATATGAGAACTTATTGTAGAATTTAACACCATTCAACTTTTTTGTTATTGTTGATATGATACTTATGCTAACAAATTTCAAATATACAAAAGTGGAGTGTGTTACGCTCGGAATACCAGCATATTGAGTCTGTCTAGGTTCATCATAGAACTTGGCACCGAAGTGCAGCAGTTCGAGTTGCCACGTTCCAGCATATTGAAAAATACGATTAGCTAACTGAATCAATCAGATTAAGTTGTTGGACTTCTACCAGTAATTTTCGAGTAGTTATAAAATTATTTTAAGGATTGGTTCTCTAACCAATGTCAGCTCATGATGAAATCCTTTAACCAATCAACCAAATCCCTACAAACCAATACTTGAATAACAATGAGATTCTCACTGGCCCTATTCCGATAGGTGGGTAGTTACCTGGGGTTCTAGTGAGAAGTCGTGACCAGTAGCGTGCAGCAGGTCGAATGTGACGACAAATTCTCGCCGAGACATTGGCTAGCGGTTGCCCTATATCGTGAGTTGGCAGAAGATAGAATTCGTGGGCCATTGGATCGGGTCCCAGTGGCTTAATGGTCTACGAGTTCGCCTTGTAACCAGAAGGTCCTGGGTTCGAATCCTGGTGGCGGATCCGTGCTGATGAAGAGTCCCAAACTAGGACGAAGCAGCTTTCCAGTACTCCCAGTTGGTTTTCCAATGGTTCTCTAACTAATGTCAGCTCATGATGAAATCCTTAAACCAATCAAATCCCTACAAACCAACACTTGAGAAAATTATTTAATGGATAGCCTAAGCAGTCTAGAACAATATCCTAGGAATAGTAAATTATTATTTAAGACAAAATTATTACACTCTGAGCGCCAGGAGATAAGCCACACAAAATCTCATATATGCAAGTGCTGGGATACTGGTCGGAAGAATTGCAAGTGGTTGCTTTGAAGGACCCAAGTCCTTGACTTAAAGTCTGATCACATGGTAGCCAGTGACCGAGACAAGTACGTTATTCTTTTGGATTTCAGAGCCCGTGTACACACCATAAGTTATGGATCAGAGTTTTCCAACTCACCTAGAAAAACCACCATGTCAAACAATCCGGTTGTAAGACTCAGGCGTCTACATCCCCCCTTCAACTTTTGTTAGGATTATCCTCGCCGCGTGAAGTCTGTGAATAGGATTTGTCTGGCATAGACTAGGAACACAGATATATGAGGAAGACCAAAGACTACCCACCCTCTGTCATACTAAGTCGCTTAAGAGGGTATGGAAGGTTTTTGCAATAACGCAGTTACCAATAGTCTCTACATAAAACGATTGGTTTACTGTTGATATATCTGATTAGGTACACTTCGCTGGTCGGGGTGGGTGTCTTGCGCTGCGGGCTAGCCACCCCTCCGTACACCTCTTGAAATGCTCCCACATGACCGGGCGTCTTACATAGCCTCTCCTGAGAAGGTCCTACTCACTGCCTTCACGTGGCGGAGGTGTTTTTCACCGAAGTGAGAGGGCAAAAGCGGATGCCCGGCGCTCTTCACCGGGTTGACTGTCTATTGGATGACAGTCTAGGGGAGATGGCTAAACCCTGATTCCAAACCTCCAACGACTGGCGTATGAAGCTCACCGGCAGACGTATGGACAAAGAGCTTATTGGATGTCTAGCCCCATTCAAAAAGGCGTATGAACCGGACTCCGTCTGCCAATGGATAGTGGACTCCCTACTCCACTCCTACTGCCTTGTAGGTCACACTTGGCTGTGTAAAGGCTAGAGCTGCACTCTCAAACAAAAGGCCGAGCGATGCTGGGGACATCACTCGTACCCAATTCCCATGAAACTTCATCAACTCTCTTACAAACATTCGAGATGTTCATGAAGCCGGTTCATCCTCCCGTAGGAGATAGCCGAAGTAAAGTAAAATAAGTAAGTACTTCGCTGAAGCATACAGATCGGCTCATTAAAAACCACAGTTGGGATTACACTGTGAAATATGGGATACAATGCTTGATAACTTCACCAGTGATTGCTTCATCGGAAGTGATTCCGAAGCAATTTGCTGATACAGCACTTAAAATTCGTTGAAGACTAACTCAAAACAAAGGACTGTAGTAGTAAAAACTATACGACTCAATTGATAATCTCCAATCATGGTTACTGGGTAAGCAAAGCTCAAGCACCGCTAACTCCTTCATAAAAGGTTTCAGAAAGAATCAATAACAAATGGTAGTCAAAGCATATAGTTAAAGGATATCCTAATATGAGAGTGACATTCTATTCCGTCAACTTAGCAGCAGTGTATGACTGTGAAGGCACTCAACCTCACGTGACCATGTAAGGGTCTAGAGGTGTAGTCTGCGTCCCCACACAACAACGTGCATCAGAATGCCTCATATCGGCATTCTAGTTTCATTCACAGCAAACGTACTCCTATCTCAAGAACTTATAAACTAACAGTGGAATGGTTTGTTGACGTATGGTATGCAAGCTTGGAGATACTAACAAAATGCAATCTCCCGAATGCCAACGTTTGCACACACTAAGGAATGCCACGGCAAACTATCAATTGGATATGTAGTGAAGCGTTATAAGTTCAGATTTCAAGCCATGAATATCGTGACCGCGTTTACACATATTATCAAGCGATGCATCCGAATTCTGTAACCAACTACTAGTCACTTAGGGAGAAAAAATTAACCTATCATCCAAGAATGCCCCATCGAGTGGATCAATACACATTATAAAGCATTAGTTGGTATTAACTAGATAATTAGAGGGTTTTGAGAGCAACGAATCATCGTCGTTTAGCATTCACTCAGATATGGGGTATAGCAAGGTGTCCTATTTGACACAAAAAATTAAACAAATCAGACATTAACTAACCTTATACATGCATACACGGAAATAATTTTTCGCCGCTGTTAAGGCGGTCTCAGTTACTGCAACTCTCACCTTCTGGCTGGGAATTTCGAAAAGGAGAAGACCTAAATTACAATAATATTTTTATTCGGACGCATCAAGTGAACATATGTATGAAGTTAGCTAGATATCAACAAACTAAGAACAGAGTGCATCACAGGTTGATGTGTATTAGAAGCGATTAAAAGAAAAAAGTATCTGGAATATGTATATATACAATGTTCGAATAAACAATTAAGATTGAAAATTTAGTAGTCTTCGGCTCCCTCAGGAGGACGTCGAGCAGCACTGAAAGGCGACGTGTTGCGTTTGGATGATTTAGAAGAATGTTCATGATGGTAGCGATCATAGGCTTTTCGTGATCGTGAACTTGATCGCGACCTACCATATCGTCGTCTGTCATCGCGATAATCATGCCTGGATCTAAATCTGCCACTTCCGCTTTCACGGTAATCATGCCGAGAGGCGCTAGAGTGTAAATGAGAACTGAAAACAGGTAAAAACAAAAGACATTTGAAGGATACATACAAAACAGAGAATAGCAATAATCGGTAGGTTAAATCTATGGTGTGTATCTTAACCGAACTTTACAATCTATGGTAAATAAACTACTTAGGGCTTTAAAAGTAAATATACCTTGTGGAACCGATTGCCCCCGTTACAGACGATGACTCCAAAATCACCTAATAAGCGGAATTAAAATCTGCAATGAGTACCTGTTAAATAATTCCAATCGAATCACATTAGTTCATCAGGGAACTGTGATACAACTAACCACAGCTTATGTTTAGAAAAAAGAACGTACTTTCGCTCCAGACTCCTACCGCGGCTTCGATGACGTGTACGATCCCGGGAAACAGGAGAACGATCAAGTGATCGTCTATCACGCCGTCCATAACGAGAAGAGGAATTAGAGTTTTGTTCACTGTATTGCCTCAAGTAATCACGAATTTTTGCGTAGCCAAGATGCATTTTACCAGACAAATGCTCTTCTACTCGTTGAGGTGCATCATCTTTGATTCGGAAGGCTCCACATATCTCACAGACTTCTAGTTCTTTAGTCTATGAAAAAATGATGATAAACCGTTAAAAAACAAAAGAGCATACCTGAGTCATTCCTGGACGTGCATCGCCTTCAAGCTGTGATCGTTCAAACTTTAGTTGTTCACATAACTTTAGAACTCCTTGTGCTTGATCAACCTTCCCTTCAGTTCCTAATTCTTCTGCTTGCTTCACTAAATCATTTATTCTTTTTGTAAGTGCAGCTATCTTTTCTTTTTTCTCACTTGCACCAATGGGATCTGAACTATTGACACTTTTGTTGACTGCTAAACGCTCATGTCCCCTTCGATTCTTTTTTCAACATCATCCAAAAGCTGGGTAAGATAATGAACAAAATCTTGCTCGTACCCCATTTTCCCAAAACGCGAACTCTTTTTATAAGATTCTCTCATACGCTCATCATGAGATCTGGGGCATTGACCCAAGTCAGTTTTGGTATTGACAAATAAGTCATGGGGACAAAATCCACACAAATAAAACTTGCATACGTCATCATCTGACCAATGCGGACCACCGGAGATTTCACCATTGACCGCATTTCGATTTTTACCCATGAGCTCATCCAGTAGTGCTTTTTGAGCTGCGAGAGCCATTGTGAGCGGAAACCACTAAAAAATAAATACAAATATATAATTTAAGATAACGCCGCACAACATATAAGCACCTATATCTACAGGATGCGTGAAATTACGAACGTAATAACACAAGTGACTCACATTTGGAGATTGACAAATAACAGCCAGTGAAATTTTAGGTAAAATGCTTGAAATAAAAAAACAGAGAAACAATATGGTAAAGCTACTGAAGATTAATCGAGAAGAATCTGAAATCCTACATCAACTAACAACCAAAATTATGCTTTGTGGTATTATAACGTTAAAAACTTCGATGAAGCAGAAGAATATGTCACGACGTACAGTCTATACAGATGATGTGGGAACTAATAGATGAGTAAACAGGACACTGGCAATCCCCAATGATTTAACATCCCTTGTAAAAGCAAAATCCATTCAACATACGACTACAATACACAAAAGTGGAGAAATCTCAAACATTAAATCAGTTCAGAGAACCAACAGGATACTAGTCGCATAGGACAAAACGGCAGTGGTGGGTCAACGAATGCTAAATTCAGCGAAAAGCTCTTACAAACGGAGGAAAGCATTTTGAGAAAAGACGCACTGGAGAAAAGCGCTGTCAGAAAGTGAATACAATTACAAGGGTTATAAATTGGTCAGAAGTCAACTAGAACATCCGTGAAATGATGAAAGTATTCGCGCCAGCAAGCTTCACTTACGGTCAAATCTCTGAGAAAACTATAGTAGAAGAGATTTGTGGTTAATATATATCAGATAGCTAATTATGTATGCAGTGAAGTCACTCATCTTAGAACTTAAGAATGAGCTATGTCCTTTCAGAAGACGCGTTTCCATACAAAGATTCACCTGAATATAAATATTCTAGAAACCTAAATTAATCTACTATTCACACTAAACAGATATTTGACTTTTTCAGAACTCCTCAAGTTCATAAGAGAAGGTATCAGTTTAGTTATTGGTTGTCGAAATGCCATGTACCAAGGTAGCTTCCTTAATTTAGATTGGCCGGTAATAATAGCCAATGTTAAGGATAAATCTAGAAAGTAAGTGATGAAGATGGTCATACAAGTGAGTTACGAATGGTTCGTCAGTAATACGATAACTGCCCACTTTAAGCTGCTCCACCATATCGTCGCAATGTGCATGGTGACTATGTATCGTATCTCAACTATTTACACTGCAGATGAACAGCGTCAGTCTACTGATTTCTTCGAACGAAATTAATGACTTTCACAATATCCAAAACTATCATATGAGGCAATCTGCAAAGTTTATCTTTCAGAAACCATGTTGGACGATTATTGGGAACCGGCATTGAAAAAATAAAGATATTCCAGGAATACAAACCTTTGCGTTTGTCAGTCTGTCAATTGCAATATACGATAAGATAGATTTGCTCTTCTGGCAGGGAGACACTCTGAGATAATCTATACCATAACATTACTCCTGATCAACTTTACCACTAGACATTAACAAATCACAATCACGGTGAGATATAAGTCGAAAATTACTAACACATGATTACAGAACATGGCATTCCCATATTCGTTGATGCTTCTGATTGTTTTTGAATCTAACCCCTACTTACAGACAAGTTGTGCTGTTAATCTTCCTCCGCATTAGCATGCCTTAACAACTCAAATTAATTATTCAGACTAATCAAACACTCGATAAACAAATCTTGAATACATATTTCGACTTGGTTATACCACCTGTGAATCATGCGTCGAGATTGCTGCTTAGTGTAACTTCACCGCCATCTGTAAAAGGCTTGTCCGTAGGTCTAGAACTCACCACACACACTACAAACGTCACTCACCAACAATGACCAAAGCAATTGGCGGTTTTACAAGCGACTGTAAAAATGTCTCCGGTCATTAGGCATATTAGGTGATTTAAACACACCAAGAAACAAATGCCATGATAAATGAAAATTATCGGTAAACAACAAATATTTCATGGAAATCTAAGCATTTTGTCATCTAATTTTCTCTCAAGCTGGATAACCTTGACTGTCCCAGATCGGCGGCTTTTGAAATGGTTCGGAACAGTTGTCTGCATGTAATAAATTAAGGGTACCGCATGACTTTTAATTTACCTTTAATGAAAGATGAAATAATATATCGTTATTCTTCAGTAAGTCACAAAGTTATCAATTCATGTTTTAGTATATTGGTTCTTTTCCCGTCGAGGAGCAAGATAATGCATGCAGAGCCCAAAAGGTCCAAAAAGAGCTGGAAGCTCTCAGGGTAAGTTCCATGTTTAGGTAAAATCGAAATTAATAGTCGTATACGCGAAGCAAATCTGTGATAGTTTGTGTATCTATCCGTGGCATTAAAATTTGTTCAGATGACCTTAAAGTAAGTAACGACAGTATTCGCATATCTCCTTTAGGTTGTGTACATGGCCCATGCTCTTCGCAGAATATCATATGCTACTTGTGATGCTACTCATAAACAAGTAGCATTCCTTGCGAGAGAACCTTCAGGTATTGTCAATCTACAGTATTGTCATGTATTCGTTACCGGGACATCTGGTGATGTAAGTTCAACAGATTTTGCGCTTCTCTACTTTGCACATTTGATCGGTTTTTTGTAAAACTATCTTTGGTAGCCACATTTCACAACACAACAGTAAATAGTCTTAAGACTCTAAATTTTACAAAACCCTGTATTTTTAAGATTTTAAATTTTGTTACTTAAAATGTTAAGCTGCGCGCTTTGAAAAAGGAGAGTGGCATTTTTAACGTTGTGAAGTAAATTCTGCTTTTGTTGTGTAAACCACATCAGAAGCTTTTAGTTCACTTCAACTGATTTATTTAGTTGAAGTGTTGTTTATTTTATTCACATTTTGTGTTTTGGTTGGTATTTACCTCACTGTCTTCACGTACATATAACTGTGTAGTTGAAACGAATTAAAGTTATGTGGACGACCGGACTGCCACTTTCCGGTGGATGGTGGGATGCAGTGTGACAACTGCAGCCTTTGGTTCCACAAAGTTTGCACTAGTTTAACACCAGTAGCCTATAAGAGATGTTGCAAGCCATCATCTCCATGGCTGCGCAAATTTTGTAGCAACGCGTTAGATGTCCTCATCCAAGAGGCAGTAGGACTCTTGATGTCCAAGAAGTTGTCGAAAGACATAGTTGAAAAGCCTGTACCAGAAACCTTAGCCAAGGATGGCGGTTCAGGACATAGTTGTAAGACTCAGGATGCATCACCTCCTGAAGTCTCAGAAGCGAAAGAAGCACAAAATGCCCAAACATCTGTTGCTGCAAAGCGCAAAAGGCAACGGAAATACAGAAGGGCAAGTAGTGCCAGCATAGCAAAACCAGCCTGTGAAATAGCAACGCCAAAGCGCAGCGTGTCTAATGCACGAATTGCTTCTAGTCGCGGTGAAAACAGAGTAGGAGAAACCGACTCCACTTGGTTGCTGCCGAAAGGTAAGAAGCAAAACAAAACTAGGAAAGAAACAGTAGCCGAGTTTACCAACAAGGTCTCGACGACTGTTAGTACCAGCCAAACTCAGAAACCCACGGACTCTGGTTACAGTATTATCATCTGGAACCTGGAGGAATCTAAGAACACAGATCCAGCTGCCCGACATGCAGATGATCTAAAGGCGATCAGCTCCATTATCCGGGAAATACTTCCCGAAAAAACAACTGGAGTACACGTACGAAAGGCCATCAGGATCGGAAAACGAAACCCTGATGCTACAGGAACTCCTCGACGACTACTTAAGATAGTTTTAGGGAACGAAACAAAGAGGAGGACCATCCTCGACAATGCGTTCAAAGTCAACGACAAAAGTCTAAAAATAAGGCCTGATTGGCCTTTCGAAGATATAATCAAAAGAAGAGAAGCCGTGGCTGAACTAAAGGCCAGGCTAGAGAAAGGCGAAAAGGACCTCAAGCTATTGGGTTTTCGGGTGGTGAGGTCTCGGAAACCGATACGAACGCATGTAGTCTTAGGAATAAGCTCGCCGAATTAGGAGAGTTATCTGAAAGACCACAACCTGATGTAATTGCTATCACTGAGACGTGGTTGTTAGTGGGTGTAGACTTAACTCCACTCATACCTGGGTATATCTGCATACGAGCAGACAGAGTAAGTAGTCGGAAAGGTGAGGGGGTTGCTCTATACATCCGGGATAACATAGGGATCAGGTCAACATTGTCAGAAGCTCATGACTGCGGCACCAGTGAAGCCGCAAGTTGCATCATTAACTTAAACAAAGGCACTTCAACGATCGGAGTTATTTACAGAAGTCCTGCTAGCCAAGCTGATGACTTCGTTCTAAATCACTTGTGCGCGTGGGGTAGTAGAAATAGGTGTCTGATTGTTGGCGACTTTAACGCTCCACATATTAATTGGGGGGAATTAAACTCCACTAGTTTGTATACCTGTTTCAATAGGGAGCTCACATTGACAGTGCTTGAATGTGCACTCGTGTAACATATGCACGCACCAACACATTATCACCCTGAACATGATCCATCTACTCTAGACTTGGTATTGACACACCAGAAGGAGGACGTTGGTAACATTAGGTGCCTTCCGCCGCTTGGCAGCAGTGACCACACAGTCATTGCTTTTACGTTTAGGATTCATTCTCTCATACACAGGTCAAAATCTGCTCGTCCAAACATTTGGAAAGCGGATATACAAGGAATCCGGAACGCAGCAACTGCGGTTGACTGGTCAGTTGATACAAGTCGGACTGTCGAGGAAGCTTGGGTAGGATTTAGGAATACACTAGATCGTGTCACTTCACCTTTTATACCTTGGTACACTCCTCGAAAGCTATCGCATGAACCACCTTGGATCACTAGTGGAATAAGGAGGTTATTAAGACGGCGAAAGAACTTGTGGGACCAATTTGTTATGACAGAAAGGGAAAACTTCCAGAAAGACTACCGCGAAACTCGAAACCTCTGTAAGTATGCGATTAACAATAGTCGTATAGAGTACGAGAGACGATTAGTACTAGATTGCGCTCATTACCCAAAAAGGTTTTACTCGTATATTAAACGTAGGACTAAAACTAGCAGTGGTAGAGCACGTTGACCGCTTCACTTATTTGGGAAGTACCATCAGCCCCAACGGGCTGATCTCTGACGAAATCTCAGCACGAATACAGGGGGCTCGCTTCGCATTTGTTAGTTTACGCCGACTCTGGCGTAGACGAGATGTTCGACTATCGACCAAAGGGCGGGTGTACTGCTCATCAGTCCGCTCCGTCCTCCTTTATGGTTGTGAGACCTGGCCACTGAGAGTGGAAGACATGAAAAGACTAGCTGTCTTTGATCATAGGTGCCTGCGTTCTATTTCCCGTGTAAAGTGGCATAATAAGGTGAGCAACATTGAGGTTAGGCGTAGAGTTCTAGGTAAACAGGGGAAATCAATCGACGAAGTTGTGAAGCTACAAAGACTGAGATGGTTAGGACATGTGTTACGTATGCCAAGCCATCGCCTCCCTCGACGAGCAATGTTAGCGGATATAGGGTCAGGCTGGAAAAAAGCTAGCGGCGGTCAAACAAAAACTTGGCATCAGTCAATGAAATCCACAACAGTTGGTCTAAGCCACGTGGGAAGATGTAGACTTCCAGGCTGGGGTCCTCGGGACGGCAAAAATCTATGGTTGGAAACAATTGGTGACATGGCTCAAAATCGTTCTCAATGGGTGGCTAAGATGCATCCACTCCTTGTGACTTATGATCTCCAATGAAACTGTTTTGTTTTTCTTTATTACTCCTTTGTCTCACACCTCTGCTCACTGTTTCTATTATGCTTTTCTTATACTTTCTTCTCTTGCTTCGCGTGCTACACGGAATGTGGCGACTTGAACTTCCGCACATTTGTGCAAAGTTCTATGTCGAAAACAGACAGACAGAGCAGTGGTATACCGTCACTCATAACCATTAGTGGAGAAGCGGCTGAGTCAGACGAAGAAAAGGCTGAAAACCTCTCTGAATACTTCTGTGACGTCTTCTCGTCTGATAGTACCACCCAGGGATATGGCGAGGTCACTGCCATCGCCACTCAGATGCCCTCAATTGTGGTAGAGCACACAAAGGTTCTCAAACTACTGTCTAAACTGAAGCCAGGTAAATCACCTGGGCCGGATGGACTTCACCCTAAGCTGTTAATTTCCTTGGCGGATATAATATATATTCCGCTTACGGAGATTTTCCAAATGTCTCTGACGCAGGCTAAGCTACCCAGGGACTGGAAGGATGCCATTATAAGCCCTATCTTCAAGGACGGGGATAGGCAATTGGTATCTAACTACAGGCCGGTAAGTCTGACATGCATTATTGCAAAGGTATTGGAAACTATTATAAGGGATCAACTATTAGCTTATGTTGAAACACATGGCTTGTTGGCTGTGGAACAGCATGGATTCCGACCAGGACGATCCTGCTTGACAAACCTACTATTGGCTAGGGAAGACTGGGTTGAGGCCAGAGATAGGACCATCTGTTGGACGTGGTTTTTATTGATCTTAGCAAGGCGTTCGACAAAGTATCCCACTTAGGTCTCCTTAGTAAACTGAAAGGTTTCGGACTAGACCAATGCCTATGTGAGTGGTTTAGAGATTACTTAATGGATAGAAGGCAGAAGGTTAGAGTTAACGGTGTACTATCAGGATGGAAAGCAGTATCCAGTGGAGTGCCCCAGGGAACTGTATTAGGTCCATTGCTATTCCTATTATACGTTAACGAATTACCAGGGATTCTTTCTTCATCTTCATTATTATTTGCAGATGACATTAAGATATGGAAAACTGTAAACAATAACGAGGATAGGTCGGCCCTACAAACTGATTTAGATAAATTAGCTGAGTGGTCAAGCCTATGGAGTTTGGAAATGAATGCTAGGAAAAGCGCGGTAATGCACTTAGGTCAGAAGTCTTATGCGTCGTACTCCCTAGGGGATGCAGAACTACCTGATGTTAACGAACAGAAGGACCTAGGAATCATTGTCAGCAATGATTTGAAAACAACTGCAAATTGCAATGCAGCCGCAGCTAAAGCTTTTCGAATGCTATGGGCAATTCGAAGGGCTTTCAAACGATTAGACGAGGGCATGTTCCAAATACTCTACGCAACATATGTCAGGCCTCATCTAGAATACTGCATACAAGCGACGAGTCCATGCTTCAAAAAGGAGGCACATATTCTGGAAAGAGTACAGAGAGTAGGAACAAAATTAGTTAGTGGTATCTCACACCTTCCTTATGATAAGAGGATGGAGCATTTAAATCTCTTCCCGTTATCATACCGAAGGAAGAGAGGCGACTTAATTTTAGCATACCGTATACTTAAGGGTGATTTAGGAACTGACCTTTCTAACCTTTTCTCCCCTTCTAGGATACATTTACGGGGTCACCGCAAAAAGGTGCTCAAACCAAGGACGATTAAAATACGTGCAGAATTTAGATTCTCTCACAGAGTGGTCAACGATTGGAACTCCTTACCTGATTCAGTAGTATCAGCTCCATCGGTGAACGCTTTCAAAGAGAAGTTAGATCTCTG